AATTTCCCCAGTCAAAAGGAGAAAATGCCCACAAAATGTATAATTCAAAACAAGGTTGAATGAAATGGGAAGCGGTATTAGCATATCTTTTCTAGGTTAATTAATGAAGAAAGACGTTTCGTAAAAAAGGTATGCATGCACATAATCGAGGATGTTTAACTTTGTAATATTCAGAGGGCGGATATGTGTTTACGAAAAATCCCTATTTCATATTTGCGTTACGAAATATTACGATAATATTTATGAAAAAAATAGTAGAAGTGACAAATTCTTTCTCTGGATTTTTTTTGTAATCGGATTTCTTTGAGCTAAAAAATTTGTCGTACAGACAAATATATTTATATATTTACAAAATATAGGTATACATTTTTGAAAATATCTAAAATATTTACGCGTTTAAAAAAATAATGCTTGAAATATTTAAAATATATTTGAATGTCTGAAAACCTAAAAATAGGTATATAATAATATTTTGAAATTTTTGTGATCTAAATATTTAAGTTGGGGGACACACCCACAAAGTTTGACCGTCGGTCGTCATCAATGAAAAAGTTGAAAATAAATACATATCCGCCGTCTGGATACATTGGATACTTCTATTTTGAGATGAAGATCAATTGACAAATACAATCTTCGTCCTTCTCAAACTTTTACCAACTATTCGCTTCCTTTTCTTTTCCAAAGCTTAAACCACAACATTAGCAATTGTGATACTACTTGAAACTTACTAATTACCACCATTATTGTGTAGCTTTACTAAAGTAATAAAGTTTTTGAACGACGACGATGGCCATGATGCTGGCATTTTGTCTTTGCGGTTCCTCTCAATATTTACCAAATACGAGTCGGAAGAATTTGTTTTCTTCCCACAAAATTTTCACTCTAAAGGTTTCACCAACTTTTCCCCGTTATTGTTCCAGCTTTCTCTTTTCCGTTGGCTAATGACTGGCCGAAACAATACCCAGATTTCGTAACGATGCTCCTTCTCATGCGATTATTGTGGTGCTATTTAATAAGTATTTACCGTGCAACATTTCCACCCTCTCCTCATCTCAGCAGGAACAGAATGTGAACGAACAGTATATAATAATGAAGTGATGAGTAGGCAGACTTTCAAGAGGCGAAGTACGCGTCAGAATTAAAGTGAGGAATTTCCTCGCAAAATTCTAATTCCTCTCCACCTCCACCCATGCACCCACAGATAGCAAATAATCGTGCCTGGACTCATTTTCCTGCCCCGATCTATATTTTATATAATGTTGCCCCTATCTATCCATCCATTTGCCTCACTCATTTCATTCAACTCACATTCAGCCAAAGTCGTGTTGGCAGGCTGCATAAGTCAGGAGGAGGAAGATTTCAAACGAAAATTTGATTTTACACGAGAGTGGACGCCAACGGTGGAGGAATGCAGAGATAAATTGGTGTTTAGCTTAGTCCCTGTTACATAAATGGTGTCCTACTTTCGGGGAAAAAGGGTTGTTTGAATGCCCCCGTCTCATCCAAGCAGCCACCCATGCCATTAAAACCTGGATGGTGCGGTGAGAGTGGAGACAGATAAGGGAAAACACGATGAAATAAAAGCACTACATCATAATTCTGTCTGAACAGTTTCCCTCCAATGTTGGACAGTGGAGGAGGATGGAGGTGAATCTATTCGAGTGGAGAGGAAACAAAACGGACGGACTTTCTCTCCAAAAACAGAGAAAGACCAGAACCAGAACTGGCTATGCAACCAACCACCACCACCAAAAGACCACCACCAGACTTAACCCCCCGCATAATAACAAGACTGGACTCCAGCCATACCAGACGAAGCATAAATGATTGCTTGGATTACTGGTTGGATTGGGATGCTGTGTGTGTGTGTCGAAATTTACAATGTGTGTGTGGCGAAAGACATGACGCAATAATTTGGCTGGCATTACAATTATGTGTCATTCTTCCCCAACCGAGGCAGAAAGACGATTTAATTTGTGCTTTAATTTCTAGACTCAACTCGTGTCTTTAATCTGCATCAAAGGCCATTCCCGTCAGTCAGTTTCCCTTAATGATGCGAGATTACACTGATTAGCCGGAATTTATGCATGTGTTCTGCTCACGGAAGGAAATCAACATGCAAATAATTAATTAGCGGTTGATTTCCTACTGTGTTTCGTTTCGACCTGTTATTACTCACCACTTTAAAGTACAACACTTGTACTTGTCAAGTGCGTAATTAATTTCTTGGAATGAACACCGACGAATTATTTACAAATACAAGTTATTTTTAGTCGTAATAAAATTTTGAGTTCATGTGTTCCACTAATTAATTTGAGTATTGATTAAAAGAGAAAGAGTCGAAACTAATATGATTTTGTTCCTCTCGAGGAGAAAACCAAAGTCATAATTTAGCAATAAGTTTGTTTTCACGAGTTGAGAAGTGAGTGGTATTATTGGTTTGGTGGTGGTGGTGGTGGTGTTTGCCAAGATTGGCCCAGCTCGCTTTCTCCCTCCTATTAAACTACTTTCTCTCGAGTAAGGCTACGGCTGAGTGAGTGATGCAGGCAGGTAAAATGAAATGAGATGAAGCCTCGTAGGATGGTTGGTGGCTGGTGCAAATCCGAGATCAAATTTAATTCCGTTTCATCCTCAATTCCCAATTCAAGTCGGATTATATTGTATCTTTATCCTGCTCGGATCAGGTTCGCGTTGCGTTGCGTAGCGTGGTATACATAATTATGTAACGTAATGTGTTTCTTAATGAAGTTGTTTAGGCCTCCTCGTGTGTACATAGCTGAATCGGAATGGTGGTGTTGTTGTTGGCTGGCAGTCGATCTCACCCCCTCAGCCGATTTGATTTCATTTGCTCAACTCTTAAAACAACGAGGTGGCTGAATTAAGTATCAATATCCTCAATCTCTATCTACACGGGTGTATAAACTGACTTTGCTCTAATCGTAAGCAGATCAGAGTATCAAGAGTTTGATCTGAAAACATGATTAGAACACGCAAAACCCACGCCGTGTTTCAGGGCTGGGATAAATAAATATGTATGCTGCTACGTATACAAGACCCGGACAAAAAGAGAGAATAACAAATTAACTTGTGTGTTCATTTTCCATTTCATGAAAAGCTGGTGCATACACAGGATTGGCTGGTCTGGTAATACATAGACATACGCAGTTGGATTCAAAGCTACAAAATTAATCGAGCGAATTATCATTATCAAAGGAATACAGCTTGTTAGGGGTTTAATGCCGTTTAATTCTTTTGTGTGGATCGATGCTTATCAGGATTACGTACGTACGTATGTATGTAGCATTTTCATGCAAAACGTATGTAGCACAGGAGCTAGCTGATTTTTAGATTGTAGACACCATGCAATTCCAACTATGCGATTTCATAGATCGCATTTTTTTGTGTTGGACACTCAAATTTAGTTTGGTTTGTCGCAATAATGTCCCACTTTCCCATAGACGTTCTCTTTCCTTAATCCACCCACTCTGCCTCCAAATTCTCCAGCAAACAAGCAAATTCCTCTATGCGACACGACATTACATTACGTTACGATTGTCATTCTACTGTAATACAGCTTAACGTCACCCAGCAGCACAGGCCACCATCGCGAGTTTAAAGCTCTCTGCTATATATGCACAAAAGTAAAGTAATCAGTGACAATAAAGCCCTTCTTCTTAGGCTGCCTTGTTATTGGACAACTGCGCCTCATTTATCTGAATCATCCGGCCTCTGTTCCAGCATAAATTGGGATAAATAGCGAGATTTACAACATTTAGGAGGACATTTCCACCCGTTCGATGCATGCCGTATACAATAAGTAAAAGTAAATACGATTCCGTAATGTAATATGTATGGTGGGTGAGTATTGATACGTTTGTTGTAGCACCCACTTCCTAGCAGACTCTTAAATTTTTTCACATAGTAAATTTGGCTGGGAGAAAGGAGGGACATTACATCACGCAATAATGCAGGCGAAGTGTGCATTACCTCGGAGGTAACAACCCATTTATCCTCCTTACAACGACTTTCCCTACTCCCACTTGTTTTATTGCTGTCGGCTCCCAGTGACTGCAGCAACGGCAGCAACGGCAACATTAGCATGGGATGCATAACATCTAAAACCAAACAACCTTCCGGGCAAAAACCTGCTTTCACTTCACCCGACTCCATTTCTTCCTCACACAACGCTGCACAAGTTTTCGCAACATTATCCCATTCAGAGTGTAGGCATAGGTAGTTGGGTACGCAAAGAAATGAGTGCAGTGTTTCGTTTCTGGAGGGTTTGCTACATTTCTTGCACTGCAGAGCAAGAAATGGGAAGTGCAAGAAACTGGGAGAAAGTGGAAGAAATATGTGGTATCTAGCCACACGCCGTATGAAGTATAGGTTCTAGAGCCTTGCAGGTCAAAATAGCTGCAAAAAGCCACTTTCCTGTCGTTATTTCTTGCAAATGATTACTTGTCGTGTTTCGTTTCTTGCGGGTTTTGTTACGTTTCTTGCACTCCAAAACAAGAAATTCAGTCTGCAAGAAACTGCAAGAAAGTGTAAGAAACGTGCACCATCTTACCACGTGCACTATGAAGTTTAATCGCCTTACATTTCTTGCAGGTCAAAATACATAGCCACAAGAGCCCACTTGCTTACCATTATTTCTTGCAAATGGTTACTTTCACCCGGAACACTGGGACTATGCATGTATGTATAACCCAAGACACATATTACTACCAGGTTTATGCATGCATGAGGAGAAACAATGCACGGGTTTTATTTAATAATAATGCCGCAGAAAAATATGGGGTCACTTTCTCATTACTTTCTCCTCAACTTTCTTTCATTCTTCTCTCCGCGTATAATGAGGTTCGCCACTTCAATCAATCAACCAAGACGGAAAAATCGTATTTACTATTTCGTTATATACCAACACAAAACTTATCTACTTAAGAAACTTAATTTTTGATATGTAAAACACGAAAAAGAGACAATGAAACCAATTCGCTTACCGCTTTCTCAAAAAAACCACAGCACATTTTGTACATCTGCTTCTTCTCCGCGTACTCGTATAATTCTCACAATTCACTTAAAGACACGTTCACCTTATTAAGTTTCACCTCGTTGAAAAAGAAGTTCCAACTTTTCTGTTTGATAACAACACTTCTTTGCTGGCTCTCTTGTCATGTGAAATTAAGTGGAGACAGAGAGATAGCGAGGAATGAGAGTCAACAACATTCATTCGATCAATGCTTTCTCTCACCACTGACTGCTCACTGGTGAGATTTGGTAGGAAGAAGAGAGAATCAGGAAATAAAGAAAGTAAGCAAATGTTCAAGTCCCCGAAATCGGTTTCTCCTTCTTCTTCTTTGATTCCACCAACTTCTTCTTTTGGAGATCAGTTTACGCAACTTTTTCCCTACGCTAATGCAATATATTTGACAGGGATGGACGAACAGTTTACTCCCACGATTGTTTCACACAACTTGTCGCAATCCCAATTTTCTAGCTAAAAATATGTCCCCAGTTTTATTGATGAAATTGTACCAAATTATTGTAAAGGTTGGTTGGTTGGTTGGTTTCACTCAAAGAAAGAAATTATGATGAGCCGCTTGGCATTTCGTCAAAATCCTGAAAGAATCTCGACAAAGCTGGTGTGTCAAGTTTACGACTTTTCTCACTTTATCTCCTCTTATGATGAACAAAGTTCACTTGTTCTTGACATCCTTCTCAATAAAATGGAGCCCATGCAGTCATTCACAAATGTTATATTAGTTGTTGGAAAGTATATGCATGCGTGTCTACACAGTGTTCCAGTTAAGCTGGAAAATTTACATTCTTTCTTTCACTATGTATTATGTCCGGCTTACCACGGTCTATGCGGACTTGCGTCTCCTCTTTTACTACCCGTTGGGATTTGACGTAAAGATTTCAAATGGAGTTGCGACGGCAGAGATTGAGAATTTCTTCTTCCGCCTACTAGTCTAAAGAGCTGGATTTACTTTATCCTGCTCCACACACACTCAACAGCTTCTTGTGCAAATTTACATTTAGACAGAAATCCTCAAGAGTGGCAGCCAGCAGCAAAACCAGAAATGTTTTTGCTTTTTTTCCCTCGGTGAAATTTAGATGTGTGTATTTTTCTGGAGAAAGTTAATTGCAACGTCACAAATGTTTCGCAGAGGGCAATTTGGTAAAAATGCAAGCTGTGACTTTCACTCAGCGATATGAATGAGAACACCACACCACCAACCGGTTCGAGAACAAAGGGACGCACACACTTTCGCGTCTTTCTGCTTTGCGAGCTGGTGCAGAACTAAAGTAGGAAAAGTTTGGTCCACACGAACTACTGGGAGAGTGAGGGATAGTAAAAGAACCCGGGTTCGGAGATGTAGAAAACGGACCGAATCCGTGCGAAGTAATGGTGTGTAGTGTGTATGTATGTATGTGGAGGAAAAGTGAGGAGATACTGATACACAAAGTAGTAGCTGGATGACGGATGGATGAAAAGGATGCGAAATTCATGTATGCATATTGGCAAACACACTGCGATAATTTGCAGGTAAGGTGATTAGTTTAGAGTTAAATTCTGTCGTTAAGCTGCTTTTGTACTCAATTATATAATTTAATTAAAGCAATTCTACACAAATGTTAACTACACCAAATACTTATTTACTGATATTATAAGCTCTTTAAGTCCTTGCACTTGTTCAACATTTCTCCGATAAGTTGTGAAACTGATGCATTTCTTCAATTTGTAGTCGAACCCTAATCGATTACATACACACTCTGGCTCTAAAAGAAATCAATCGATTTATTTAAGACGCGATCTATAAAGTACTCCAAATTTGTGTCTCAAGTCAACGATTCATTAATGCGCGTGTATAAATCACCCGTTTTTTGTGCAGTTCCCATTTGCGAAAAATTAAAAAAAATTGTGCGGCGATGGATTTGCTGCATACGAAAGTACACACTTTGTACAGAAGTTGGCAAGAACTTTTGTTTTCTGGGAGCTACATGAATGAGTACATGGGATTCCGTCATAATAAATGCGGCTGGAGGAATGAGAAACAAAGAAGTTTTGGTGGAGGTGGGTGGGTGGGAGACATTTTATATTTATTGTGGCACTGCTATACTTGCCTCGTATCTGAATTGTCTCTTTTTTCATCCCGGCGCAGAGTTAAGGTTATCAACGAATTCATTCTCTTTCTTCTTCTCGACCAAGAAATATGACCCCACTTCCTCTTCCTTGTCTTAATTTTGGCTTTAGTCTCCTTTCACTAAAACCCGGCTGGTCTTCCGGTTGAGGAATGTGCGTAATTTAAGTGTCATTTCTACATGTATTCATACATACATTCATACGCGGCACGTGGTATGCAATGTGTGGAATGAGTTCATTCAGTAATGATGAGATTTTCTGAGCAAGATTATCGAACAAATTTGGCTATTCAGACGAGTATTAATTAGGCAACACTAATTACTTAGGATTAGAATGGAGGTCTCCCATCGTATGCTCTCCAATTTTGACAAAATAAGTGTCAACCGAAGGCAAATTTAATTAATGTGAAATTTTTAAATGGCACTATCTGCCAATATTTGCATCCGAAGAGGAGAATACACACAGTAAATTTGGAAAGTGTAAAATTTGTCGACTTTTGGACGCGTTTTCTCCTCTTCGAATGCAAATATCTCTGCCAAACCTAAGCACTGGCAGATTAGTGTTTCTTTGTAACTTTCATACAACTTAGATTTGTAATCGATTGACATTAATTTTGTCGAAACACAAAATCTGGGAGTATACTTATACGTTGGGAGACCTCCATTGTTCAAAGATGGAACGGGTTGATAAGTTGTAATTAATGCTCATGTATGTATGTAAACACAGCTTGATTTATTGGTAGGACTGTTGTTAATTTGTAACATCTTCAACTAGAAATTCTGTCTCTACACACATACCTAAATATATTAAACTGCATCGTCGTAAACCTTATCTTACCCTCGCCATGTCGATACACACAAGGAGAATCTTCTCTCCTACGCACTCCAAAAACCCTTTTGGTTCAAAGTTCGAACCAATTTCGAGGAATGAAGGGGGAAAAAACCTGGGCCTAAATATTTATGATTTAGATCCAATCAGTTTCAACAGTTTGTCGCTTCCCTGCCTCCCAGACTCACTGACTGAGTGAACTTTTCACCTCAAAATCCACTGGAGGATCAGAGACGAGTCGAGTCGAGGTGGATGAAGGTGAATAGCAAAATTCAGCCCAACATCTAAATATCTACTTACCTGACTAGTGGGCTAACTCAAAATTAATTTACATTTTCAGTCGACACAGAAAGCCTGATTAATTCAGGGCAACCGAAACAAAGTTGTGCGGATTTAATTTGCATTTCTCACCTCTTATACATATCTGCTGCGTACACCTTACAAATAGAGGTCACACACTACTTGTTGTACTGATAGCTGGACTAGAAGATTTTCCCTTATTAAAAAATTAATATTTAACAGATTAACCCGGGCCGGAAGCAATGTGCTCATTTCAATTTCCAAAATTGTTATCATTCCTTTATGTTTTACATGGTGCCATCAATTTCGTGAAAATGCTCTCTCGAAGGCGGACGGATACCTCGCGGCGAAAGTGAGGAAAGGAACAAAAAGTAAACATTATACGAGTCACCCACCCACATTCCTCCTCCTGAGAAGGCGGATAGGAAACGAATGCATAGAAAAATTATTGCCAGACTTCTTTTACCACGAACGAAAGGAAGAACTGCTTTCTCTGCTTAGCCGACGACCCGACTTTTACGGAGGAGAAAGTGGGTTACACTTGAATACTCGAGGACGAGAAAAAAGCAGATCTCTCGAACAAAACCCACACCCAGTTCTTGATCTTGTTCTTCTCCTTGTTCTCCTGCTCCTTGCAGGTCTAGTTTATCTCTCTTCCCATCCCGTCAGCTCGCATTACACGTCGTCTTCAGCAAAAGGAAATCTACATTCCATCCGAATCATGCATATTCTAGCGCCCACCACCACCACCACCACCACGCCGTTACTACCGACCAACCTACACCACCACGAAGAAGAGAGTAGATTTGCAGATTTGTGAAGTCAGACCACCCAGAACGAGGAAGAAAATAGTATTAGATTCAAGTCCGTGAGGAACGAAACGACCGTTTTGTCCTGGTCTCATCTGGACGGCGGGTGAGAGTCGGAATGGGCAGAACTTTACATACATTAATTTTTTACTACGACACCACCGGTCTCTGCTTTCTTTCTTACGCTCTCTTCTTGGTATTGGCGGCTAACTGAAGGGCACTGATAACATCATATCACGACGAGTTAAAAAAATACGTCCTTGTCTAAATAAATGTTTACCTGGGTTTACAACATCCACTTGTGAAAGAAATACACACATGCATGCAGTTTTTTCTATAAAAAACCATAATTGTTTAAGGAGAAAGTTGAACTCTGGGTTAGCCCATCGACTGAAATTATGCTAACCCACCAGAAAAGAAGACGATGGCATAAAGATTACCGAATTAGGAAGAGAACTGCTGACCACATCGAAAGCATTCAACCCTTCCGAATTTTCGGCTACCCGAGATGACACCCGGTTTATAAAGTGACAGCTCTTGGGCGGAGGGACAGTGGGTTGCCTCTGTTTAGACCTTGCAATAATACACATGGAGGAAATACACCACCACGTTTTAAGTACCTACGCGGAACGTAACGTAAAGTTATAGTCGTCCCAATGCTGCTGAAGGCGACAGGCGCTGCTTCCGAGCTTTCTCTTTCTCTCCTCTTTTTCGCAATGGACCAGATAATCGATTTCTCTGAATTTCTCAGCACCACTGCTACGACCACTGCCAGAACTCGTATAAGGAACACATACGCATACATCCACTGGTCTCCGGGATGAGATGAGAGGTTTTGCTTTGCTTTATAGTTGCCCCAGTGCATGCAGTCGTGCGGTGTGGTCGGATCTCTCCACTCACAAAGTATTATTCGCGAGGAGCAGCAATAAGTACTCAAAGGCGACTTTCTTCCGCTGCTACCTCTGCCTTTTGAGTGCTTGTGCAAAATTTCGGCAGCAGCGGCATAAAATAAATAGGCAGCACAAGAAAGAACGTACACGAATGTGAACCAAAGTTGTGCGATGATCACAGATTTTTTATGTGATGCCAGGTAGAGAAATGCTGCTGGAAAAGTTTAATAGAAAAAAAACTCCTCCGTGCCATTGGGGTCAAAGATAGTCTCAAAGCGATAACGTTATGCATAGTAGGCGTACTTTATAAGCATAAAAAGTATTTGCCGACCCGCTTTTGTAGCATTTTGCAATAAAAAGTCGAGGACAGAGAGAAATCAATTATATCGGGGGCATGATTGCAAAATTAAATTACCGACTAACTGAATCTCCTTTGTGATAAAAGTTCCTACTCTCGTCGTCGTCCTCAGTCGATCTATTATTGAAAATGCTCGTCTTCACTGGAAATTTAATTTGCAACTTTGCACATCCGAACACTGTATACCTTTTAAGTCTAAATGTCGATAATATTGTCTCTTTTCATCCACTTTATAAATTCAGCATTTTGTATTGTACATAAGTAAGTATTTACGTTTCCAGAAATTTTATTTGCTTTTGAGTTACATCTTCATGTTATATAAAGGTCACCGATGACTAAGGATGGAGGTCTCCCAAAGTGTGCCCACAGATTTTGACGAAACTAGTGTCAATTCATCACAAATTTAATTAGTATGAAATTTACAAAAGACACGATCTCAAGTTTGGCAGAGATATTTGCATCCGAAGAGGAGAAAGTTCGCAGTTGGAAAGTGTAAAATTGGTTATCTTTTGGGCTCGCTTTCTCCTCTTCGGGTGCAAATATCTCCGCCCAACCTGAACATTGGCAGATAGCGCCGTTTGCAAATTGCATACTAATTAAATTTATGATCAACTGACACTAATTTTGTCAAAATCTGTGAGCATACCTTGGAAGACCTCCATTATGGGTAACTAAACATGTATGCATTTAATTGGTTCGTGCGCACAATGTCACGCTTGCGACATAATGACCAGCATTTTTTATTATTTTTGGAAAATTTCCCTGTCTTATCGAATATGATTAGTGAAGACTCACGTACTCATCCAGCCACTAAACTTTATTTCTCTCCTGCCCGAGCTGGAGTGATAAATCAACCTGACTTTCGATCCCTTCTCCCTTCCATCATTGATATAGACACCCACCTTTTTTATCTTTTTTATTGATTGATTGAATGAAGAGTCGTTCGAAGGAGGAA